TATTGATAAAAACTATATTGTAATAATTAGTGATATTGTTTTATTGCCCAGCTATGACACCAAAACACCAGATTGAGCATTGAGCTTGAGGAAAGGTAACAGCCTCTTCTCTACCTGAATGCCATACAGGAACTGCTCCGACTCATTCTCCCCGTCCGACTCCTCGTCTGTCCAACACTGGCCTTTGATGTCCTGTGGGCCCACACATTGTGCAAAGGCCATTATAGTGGAGCGGAAAAAGAAAATGCGGCCCCTTTCATCATCCCTTCATCTCAAATCCTTTTTCACATGTCCATATTTAGCCTCATGTTCAAGAGCATCAAAACACTGCTTTAAATAGCATCTCAGAGGGACAGACAAAGAGATGTGATTAATTTCCAATAAACAGAATGTTCTTTGAATTCTGCCTTCAAAAGAAGAATCAAGTGACAATTACAAAGGGATGAGTTCATAAAAATACATTTTCTAAAATAAAAATAATCATGTCTCTTGTCATTTTCAGGAAAATCTGAAGCTCGAAGGTTCTGTTGCATAAACTTACTTACTTAATTATGCTAATATATCATTTACATGTCTATAGAAGGTCTGCACCTGAGTTAGTAGCCACAACAATATAATCTGCCACTTTCTACATCTTAAACAATAACATAAATGGATGACTCAGCTTAATCAGATGCTGTCTTACCATTGGGTCTTGTGTTCATAGGGCTCACTCAGACAGGTTTAGGCCTGTGAATGCTGCCAACCATTTCAGCCTTTTTCCAGATGGAAGGAACGAGAACAGAAAACTGGAGAGCTTCGACTGACCACCCCTCTTTCTCACACTCTATAGGGCTGCACAACCTATGGAGAAAAATGCATTAAAAAACAATAAAAAGGAGGAAAAACATGAAACAAAGAGGCCCTATCCAGTGATGCCATGCGTTGTAAACGGTGCCCTCCTCCTCTTTTTTTTCCCTTTAAAAACGTCTGCACTTCACCTTGCCATGTATCCTAGCAACAGCCATCTCTGCCTCCTCTCAGAGTGGCATTAATCACTGTGCTGAGTGTGTGGGAGACATGTGCTGTACATTCAGGGACCATGATGTCTCCATTTCTTTGTTTTGTATTTTCTTTGTTTTATCCCAGGAACTTCATCTTTTAATATAGATGCAACAAAGGTTGGCATACAAATATGGCTGTGCAGCAAAAACAGAACATGAGCTGATGTCATTGCACTGTTGGTCTTTTTCTTTGTCTGGCAAATACATTCAAGGAAATCTTGCAAATGCTTGATTTCCTGGGTTAGCAATAGGAGAGGACACTGTGGCTACATCATTTCAAGATTAAAAAAAAAAAAACAATGTTACATAACAACACAATGATTTCCTAATACAGGAATAGTTGCAGCTATTAAGAGGGAGAAAATAAAGATCTTACATTTCATAAGGCCAAAATGCAACATCACTGCTGACATGACAAAGGCAACCACAGTACACTCTGTATTATAGCGGCCCATTAGGTTTTGTGTCAGACATGTAAACACTGAGCTCGGTGTCTTTAAGCTAAAGATACTTATTTCAGCCTGCTCTGTCAGAATGCACATTTCAGTTTACATGTTCTAGTTCATATTAAACCAAAATAATGAAGAATATATTATATATATCAGGACTGGATCGTAAGGCAAACAAAGACTAGAGGGAGTCATAGCTCAACACTACAAGGCAGAATACCCAACACAAGTGTCATGCATGAAAGCATCTACGCTTTATATGGGTCAATTTAATTACAAGAAACCTACTTATGTCTACATGTCTACTGAAAACCATCCTGTCCTCATATTGGAAGTGTGGTACTTTTTGTGTCTCCCTTCTTTCCTCATCACCATCTCAGACATCAACTGCACCCAATTAGACATGGCTCCCTCGTCGTTGCCACATCTTTACCTCCCCTCAGTTTTTCTCCTGTTTATCCCTGCTACCCTGCCATGTCCTCAGCCCTGCTAGCATCTACACCACCCCACACACGCCATTCCCATAGCCCCTGTCGTCTAACATACCATCGGTCTCCAGCAAACCTTAACCCCCCAACCCCCATCCGCCGCCGCCACCACAACCGTCCCCATTCCCCCCTTCTGATAACTATTTCACACAAACACAGATGCAGTCAGGCGGATTACCCCCTCCCCCCTGCACTCTGCAGCCCCCCACCCCCCCATCCATCCATCCGCACTTACCTCCACAGAGGATGGAGACTTGGATGCTGTCCTTGCCTCAGCTGCTCCCCCTCTTAAAGGGCACACCTGCCTCTCTGCTGCGGTGGCTGTTTTTCCACTGAAATGAGAGCTGACAATGAGTCCATCAAAATAAGATATTTAGAGAAAGCAATCCTCCACATCTGTAGTGTCTGCCTCTCAGTGCTCTCGGTGGTGTGTGTCTGCAAGCAAGCCAGCTGGTGTGTGTGTGCGAGAGTGTGTGTGTTTATCTATTGCAGATCTCTGCTCCTGCTGCTGCTGCTGTCTTATATTTTGCCTGACAACACTGAGGGGTCTGAGCATGCTCACTGAGCCAGTCATGTGACCTGCAGCTGACTGCGCTGCTGCTGAGAAATAACAGAAAAGATGGCTCTGCTCCTGCCTATGCCTCTTCTCCTGTATGTTTATGTGTGAGAGAGAGAGAGTCTGATTTCATAAGTCAGCGTCTATTAATGTGCAATTATGCTTTGAAGGCTGGTTTATATGAAGTGCTTTCAAGTACTGTGTATAAATTCATACAAAAACCAAAGAAAAAAATGCACAATGAATACATTTACGCATTCAATATTCAAACTATAATAAAAAGAGTGATACAAAAATGTACAATATAGTTATGTTTCCATGGCATGTTTAAAAACAAATCTAATTGAAGACTAAAAATCTACCAACCTGCTGTTAGACTGTGTCCTTGTGTGCAGGTGGGAAACAATGGTCATTGGGCCTTTGAGCTAATCAGCATAAGCCTCATTATCTCATGGTATCTATTAGAACTGACTTAAAGAATGGATGGATTAACGACCAGGTGTTCAGATAACTGTCTGTCTACTGGCTGCAGACAGGTTCGCATGAACAGATCTTCCAAACAAAAAGGAAGCTGACACTGATGGTTGAATATTCATTGGGGGAAACAGTCTGACATCATGCCATGTTTGCCTCATAAGCCAAGCCATACTGTTGAGTATGTTTTGCATATGATTAGGCTAAATCTGTGCAATAACTGGAACTATCCTGACCACACCTCCTTAGAGATGCATATAATACAGTGAGCAATTCAGGAATTCTAAAATGAAAACATTGCTCTTCTTTTATAGAAAAATACATTCAGTCAGTCAACAGTTGTCTATATGATTCAGTCAACCAAGTTGACTAAGTGACACATTTTAGCTTTTACTTAATGCTCGATACTTGAGAACCAGCCAGACAAATGGAATTCTGACTCTTTTATTTGCACTGTAACAGTAATCCTAAATTGTAATGGCTGATTTAGGATATCCCACCACCAAGTTTCTGTGCTGTCTTCTTCCGTCTTCACATTTGTGTCTCTCTTCTTTTGGCCCTAATATTCAAATTGTATTGCTAACAGCAGTTGGACTGGTGTAGTAAAAATACATTCAGAAGAATTAGGGCATCCTGTCTCATCCTCTGAGATTTATCTGAGGATATTCCCACAGTAGCTGGTAGCGAAGAGGTTAGCAGCCATTAATGCTGACTGACAGCCAGGGGCTCAACCTATGGACAGGCTGACTGGTTGGTAGATCTGCCCCTCACCTGAACAGGTGTGTCCCACTGGCCCCAGGTTGACTGGAGGTGAGAGGAAAGACAGAGGCTGCCAGCAGCCAGTGAGACAGCAACATGGGCAGTGGAAGCAGCAGTGCTAATACCAACACAGCTGTGAACAGGTGAGAGCAACATGGGACTGGGATGGGAGGTGACATGGACGAAGTGTAGAATGTGACCTTGCCATACGTCACAGCGAGTCCAGAGAACTAAATCCTTGCAGTGTAATCGTACTTCCAAGAGCATCTTTGCCAGATTGATTTGTCTGACCTCTATCTGGAGACTGAATATTAAGATTTGAATGTCACTATGGTTGAGATATTTTGAGTATTTGTTTTGGTGTCAAGGACCTGTGCCATCTTCTTTGGCAGAGCTGGTTATCACAAAAGAATGAATCACCCTGGGGAGCATATATGAATATGTATATTGTACACTGGACAAACACTGGACAAATAAATCATGTTATTTTCTGTCATTAACACAGGAGCACATGACAAGAGTGAACAGTACATTCATGTACATCCAACAAAGTTCCTCTCCATTTTCAAATGTTCTCTCCATTGTCCACTGTTGTTCCTTCCTGCTGCTGTTAAATTGTACAATCAGCACGGCTCCCACTAGGCCACATGCACCTCACATCTATATCACACAACTTAATTGGGCAATAATAATTTTCTATCTGTGCAATTTCAATGTCATTGATGTGTATTTTGTTTCACATTTCAATCTGTTATAGTCTGTTATATCTGTCCTTATGTGTTTTACTTATTTATTACCTTTACCAAATATGTCACTATCTGTTTTATGCTGCTATAACATGGTTAATTTACCCATGGTGGAACTAATACAGGACTACCTTATCTCATATTCTCTTATCTTATCTAAAAAATATATTATTTTAATAGAATAATAAAACATACTAAGAGTAGTGGTATAGTGCTGCTAATGGTAGCTGTATTTGTGATTCGCACAGTGATGTATTTACACAAGATTGGCTGTGTGCTGAAAATATAATATTTTGTAATTTATAATACTCCTCCTACTACTACTTATACTAGGACTAATGATGTGGAATAGGAATTGTAAATATAGTTAGAGTTTTATTGTATTGTTTAGTATTTAATTTAAAATATAAATAAGAATATCTAATATCTATATATTTCATATTTTTCCCAATAATCTATGTACTTGAGCAATACAACGCAAATCACTGAAAAGCATCTAACGACTGCTGGATCATTTTTCAACACTAGATGGGAGTATTGGCTCAAACACTGCAGTGGAGAAGTAGCAGCACGTGAGGAGGGGGGGGGTGAATCCTCAGAGAAGCATGAGTCAGGCATCCATTGAGCGGCTGAGAGCTGCTCGTCCTGTGGAGACAGTCTGACGTGTTTTAGTGTGGTCTCGTACCAGGCTCCATGGAAAAGCAAACAACGTTTTCAGCAGCGTGCGTGTCAGAGTGTACCTGACAGTCTGATGATGTTTCCCATGATGCATTTCATGCTCAGCGGCCCCATGTGATTGTGAAGTGAAATAATAACATCATGTTCCTGCTTCAGCAGCGCGTGTCTCAGACTCCAGCGGTCACATGTCTCACCCCACGAGCCACTGATGCGTTCAAGCGCCCTGATTGGCTGCCTAACTTTACCAAGCACTTCCATGTTTCCGCGTATCCTTCCGCGCTGTTTTACAGTTTAACCCCTATTTTCTGACTTTCCCATCGCATAAAGCGGAAAAACCGCACGTGTGTGATCTGTCAAAGAGATAGGAAGCTGACTGGAATATATCGAGGCGGCGTGTTCCTTTACTTTTACATATATGGCCTCGGATGGATATGTCTCAGCATCCCTAGAAAGTAGTTCGGCGGAGTGAGGAGCAGGAAGATCACCTTGAGCGTCTCTCACAGCGGCTTCATCTTTCCACGAGGGTCTGACAGTGAGGTAAGGTTCGAGTCCTCAGCTCTCTCAGCACACACACACACACGGTCACTTCACCGCTCGACCCACAGGACACGGTCACTCCACCGCTCGACCCACAGGACACGGTCACTTCACCGCCTTCAGCCACTTTTATCTCCTCTGCATCCTGCGAGTTGTGTAAGTTCGCGAATGTGCGAGTCACTGCGACTTATTTCCACTCAACTTTTAATGGAAGTCGTTTGTTAAAATGGCGGAACACTTGGACGTTTATAGTTATTGAAGATAAGTCGTGTTATATTGGCTGAGGATGTGTGAAACGACGTTGTTAGCTTAAAGTGCAGCTAATGGACGGCTGGACTAGATGAAGCGCAGGGCAGCTCATACTGTCCTCACAGCTACAACACGTCAGGTGGTAGTTTTATTCTAAGACGCAGCGTCTATGTTTGAAACAACGCGGATTCCTGTGATGTGTGGAGGACGTAGAGCTGCAGAATCGCTTCCTGTTGCCTCCAGATGTGGGTGTGGCTGCTCTGCGTTCTCGGCCTCCCATTGGTCCGTCACCGTGATGCCTGGAGATCAGGAAAATGTGACGCAGGATGAGAACGTGATCTTTGGTGCATCGCCTGTGCTGCATGTGTCACCATTATCAAATCTATACATCACACACAGCTCACTGGCAACAAAACCGATGACATGGATTCACCAGATGCAATGAGTCTTTTATCAGCTGCGTGTTATCGTCATATTCATTCACATGACAGGCTGAGTCACGACATTAAAGTATCGTGTTCATTCTCTGATTGATCATCCTGCAACATTTCCTCTGGAACACTTTAATCGAACCGTAACCTCTTTGTGTTGCAGTACGTAACCATCCTGTGATTAATGTCATTTTGTTGCCTGAGCAGCTTCTCTGCAGTGTCATGCTGCAGTGGTACCTCAGAGAATATAGGCCTGGATCACACTGGATATAAGAGATGCAGGGCACATATCACTACGCCTGTATAGGTAGCAAATACTTGAGTTACAGCTCTCTATGTGTTGTACTTTTTATGTGATTACAATCATCTGTCTGCCATTTTCTTTCCAAAACAGCTGAAAGGAAAGTGGCAGGGCTTTGTATAAAAAATGTAATGTCAAATCCTTTGTCAAACAGATCCACTGTTATATGTGTAATATATGCACTGGACCTGCAGGATAGCCCTGACATGCTTTGTTATGTAGGGTCTAATCATTGTTTTGTGCATAACAAAAGTTCAGGTGACACTTGTCAATTCTTCGTCCAGGCCTCACTGCGGGTTGGCACTGTTGGTAATGGAGTCCTTCTCTCATGGAACCAGTCAGGTCACAGTATCAAGTGGTGAATTTAAGTGATGAGCTTAACAAAGGGGAAATCACAGTGTCTGTCTAATGCAGGCTGTTGACTGAGAGCAGATGAGTTTGGAGGATATCTAGTTATTTATCTTGAGACTTATAAGGCTTATAAAGTACTCATTGTACTTATGAGTCTTATAACTTATATTTGCAAGTCCATACTGCTGGCACTAGTTCCTCCAGACATTTGAGATGCTTGTAAAACACACAGCATGTAAGTATATTTTTAATTTGGTTATAATTTTAAACTGTTGATGTTAGTCTTCTTAAAGAGACACTCTTGTAAGTACCTGGTTATTTGCAAAGATGACAAGGAACTCCCATTAGCTACATCAGCTGGCAAAACTATACTTTCTATTTTGGTGTAATTATCCTTGGCCTGCTGTTGTTGTTAAACAAGTT